CACCTGCCAATTCATCACATCTTCTAGTTTCATACACTGGCACGTTTTCCTCTTACAGCTGACAAAAAATGTATGTATTGGGGTTGAAATCGAAATATTATGCAAATAGAAATGTAAGGATTTGGTTTTTAGCGTCACATGTTTAAAGGTAAAGATGTATTAAAATATCCCTGATCTGTTCCGAAAAAAAGTTAGTACACCGTATAAAACGCTGTATACTTTTACTGTAATTGCACTAATTTAAATATTCATCGTACTGCTGTTGTATGGTAAACATATTCTTTAAATGTTCCTCATATCCACACTCTACTTCTGATCATGACTAAAACCTGATTCCTATTGATTATGTTCATCCGATCATATTGTACATTTATACGTACTTCCAGGTAAGACATTTGTTTTAGTTTGTTTTCTAAACGTTAATTATTCCTGTCTCTTATACACATCTAGATGTGTATAAGAGACAGGTGCATAACCTTAAAAGCTGGTAGTTTACCATTGTCATGTTTTGATTAACAGTCGACTACCGGTATATCACAATACAATATTTTTTTCGTTTTCCTTTGTGTTCTATAAGGCCACGTATTGTGTTCTATTGCGTGGGTGGGGTATGAACAGCAGGATAATGGCTGACATTAAGGAGCTCTCTCGGTCCGGCGGTGAGGTCCCCTCCTCGTGATAGTGGGAATGTTTTTGTTTGTGGTGCACCATACTGGCGCGTGTAATACAGGACGATAGCCAAATCTAGTGTTAAATAGGCCTATAAATACTTAGTGTTGAATAGGCCTATCAATATTTGGTTTTAAATATTAATATATTTTGTATATAAACAGTCTTCTGGTATATCACTTTCCTGATTATTTTAGTGAAGTTGTTAATTTTCCTTTAAGTTATTGTGATTGACGCACCTCTTGTTGAGTGCCGCCGACGAAAATAGTGTCTGTCAATAATAAACTTATTGTTATTTTGTATTTATTTATTTATTACATTCGGTTTTAAAATAACAAATTAAAATGGCCAGAATGTGGAAAGGGAACACCATGGGCGGAGAGCCCAACACAATCCTCTAAACCCTCTAGCACCAAAAACAGAAATTACAAAACAGCTCAATAAAAAAATATATATATAGTGTTTGAAATAATATTATAATATAGTATAAAATAATAGTGTATGATAAAAAATATTGATAAAATAATAAATTACAGATAAAAATTTACAATGGGACTTACATGATTTCATTTTGCAAAAACCGCAAATGTTAAAATACCAGGCATCGTTAAGTGAAAATAGATGAGCTGTAGTCTGATATAATTGTAAATAAAACACTGGACATTAAGTACTTTAAAGATTGGTTATATTGACAATACCCTGGCTTTGGTTCACACAGCACAGTGCACTTTTTAGGTGAATGCCCATTTCTTTTTCTTTTTTTTTAGAAAACCATTAAAACTTGAATTGAGTGATTACTACAGTATTACTGTTTTGTTGTCAATGTCCTTCACTTCTTCGATTAATTCATGTTCGTTGATATTAGCATACGAGGTCTTCTAGCAGATAATTAATAAATAATTGAACTAGTAAGCTTAATATATTATACAATATCGCAGTAGAAAATTTTGTAATATGTATGTTGTTATAGTGAAATAGTGAATTTTACATGAAAAGTCATTCATATTAAATTCATGACACTTGCACAAGAAGGCCAATTTTGCAATAATATTAAAATTTAACATTATCAGATGAAATTAACCTACGTTAAAAAAAAGCATAAAGGATGAAAAACGACATATTCTTCTAAAGCTATCTCTATGGAGGTAAAAAGAAATTAAATAATTAAAAAAAAAACGTTTTTTAATATTCAATTACGTTATTGTTGGTTATTGATAGGCCTCTGAGTGGCTAGAACTAATTTTACCTTGATGGATCTTAGAAATTACAATAATTCGGCAAGTGTGTGGTATACTTTCCGTATATAAACTGGCATAGAAACAAACCAGTTTTAATCGGCGCCGGGGACCGGGAGTACCACAGTGAGAACGAGTACATTATCAGATCTCACGATGTTCAAACATTGGAAGATGTTGGTTTTAACTCTTTTGCTCCTGAATTTGTCCGCATCTTGTGGTATGTGAGCATGTTATTAAATTTACTCTATTATTTATCCTTTCGTATACACATTCCAAACATTTAAATAAAGTTTAAGCTGAATGATTAAGTATCTCATATTACATGAATTTGAGAGATTATATTTCTGTACACTTCTTATTTAATTAAAGCTAAAAATTACCATGGAGGAATAATTTTTTTACTATATAATTTATTTCTCCATGTTAAAACTGAGTAATTTTCCCCTAACGGAATTACATGGTTCTAGGCTCCCTGTACCCCACCTACCCATTATTATTAATTCATTAATATTCTTGAGTTTGTTCAGCATGTGTGTAGGCCTATGTGGAGGAAAATATTGAGTCACTTAAAATAGTAAAGCTTTTTTATGAACAAGTCGTCTTTATCATATGGCTCATCAAGTTTCAAATAATGTATTCTTGTGTCTGTGTGCATTGCCATTTTTTTATAAGAATGATTTATATTTTTTGACAAAAATGTTGATTGTGATTTCTGATCAAGGTGTAGCACCGGTCAAAATGAACATATTTAGTATTTACTACTACTATTCTACTATTTTGTAATATTAATTCTAATAGTCGATTGTTATTAATTCTGTTTGTTAAGTTTACCCTTTTTATGTTTGTAAGAACGCACCAATTGATATTGAGTGCCACCGATTTAAAGGTGTATGTTCAAATAAATAAATAAATAAAATAAATAGGCCTATGTTTTCACTTTTTCTCTTTGAAATTTAAAACACTAAAATAAAATTGTGGATTGACGAGTGGTAATAAAATGTAACTAAAATGTTATAATATAGGCCTATCAATAAATTACAGGAATATTCCATTTAAACCTCTGACCAGGTGATGTCTGACACCAAAAGACAATTACAAAAGTTCAATTGACTTTGTTTTTAATGAAGTATATTGTTGAAGTTATTCGGCGTTCCGCACAATTCACCGCCGTGTTACAAAATGGTTACAACTTTTGGATATAAAATAGTAGGGCCTATTCCAAATATTAATCCGGAGAGCCTTCTAGGTGGCTTGCAGATTTCATGAAGTACTAACAATGTTATTGCCATCGTCGTCATCATCACCACTATCATCAGCATCTTTACTACCATCATCATCTTTATTATTATTATTATTATTATTATTATTATTATTATTATTATTATTATTATTATTATTATTATTATCATTATTATTATTATTATCATTATTATTATTATTATTATTATCATTATTATTATTATCATCATTATCACCATCTTTAGCCTATTATTATTATTATTATTATTATTATTATTATTATTATTATTATTATCATTATCATTATTATTATTATTATTATTATTATCATCATCATCATCATTTTTAACATGTTTTTAAAATGGTAAATTTGTACATTTAAGTACATGTCTTACAGTCAACTGTGTAATTACTTGCTTATTAAAGTTATTAACGGATCAAGTTTACCTAAAAGTACAACTACTAATGTGAGGCTTGTCTCATTTAAACTTCGAAAATGGAGTTATTTAGTCGGTGAGAAGTATCTGCCTTAGAGGAACGTAACAGGGGCCTTGGGTCGGGGGAGGTGGGGCAAAGGTAATAATTTTCCCGGTTAGTAATTCATCATACCGACCCCACCCCCATATAGAAAGCAATACGACATAGGGTTACCTTATTTATAATATAGGCCATACACATGTTTGAAACTAAATATTGTATAAGCATTTTCATCATGGTTTTATTTATTACAAACATATTCTTTCACCATCAATACACATTGAGGCCCTTCTTTTAGGTATAACGATCTATCTTAAATGTTCCTTCTATTTGAGTCGGAAATATTATGGATTCATTTAAATTAGAAGGCAAAGCAGGACAAGTACAAGTTCTCACCCTCTAAAACGCGCGCGAATCGCGCAAAATTTTGTTTTTGATCTTAGGTCTTATGTTATATATGGCCAAACACGTTTTTTTTTTTTTTTTTTTTTTCAAAAAACTGAATATAAGCATTTTCATTATGGCTTTATTTTTTACAAACATATTCTTTCACCATCATTACACATTGAGGCCCTTCTTTTAAGTAAAACGATCTATCTTGAATTTTCTTTCCTGAGTTTGGAGTTGGGGACTATTATGTGTTTAAATAACTTAGAAGGCCAACCCTAAAAAATGCGCGCGAAGTGCGCAAGAAATTTTTCGCGTTTTTAACTCTAATTTCGTCGGAATTGATCAAAACTTCCTAAAATGTGCAATTTTTAGAGGACATTGACCCACTGTAACAAGAAATGCGCTCGAAATTTTAGTTTTTATGCTCTTTCAGGGGGTGAAAAGGGCATCTTCAAGGGGTGGGAATTAATATATCCACAGAAAGATTTTCCACAGATGGATATTTTCTCCCTTGTCCCCCTGTGGTTACGCCACTGCGGAGAATATCTGGCGGCTTAGATGAAAGATGAAAGGAGCTATGGACACTTTTGAAGTTTAGACGGGGTTGCAGGGTGTTGAGAGTCTAGTCTGGTCATTATGATATCTTCCTCTCTTCTATTTTTCTTTTCCTTTTCTTTTCCTTTTCTTTCTCTTTCCCTCCGTCTCCCCTCTTTCTTTTCTCTTATTACCCATCCCGGTACGACGGCTTGGTCAGCCCGGTAAAACCTGTGAGGGGGGAGGGGGCGAGTCTGGCCTCCCCTGCCCCCGCATGTTACGCCACCGGCCTTTTACAAAATGCCAACCCAGAACCCAGAAAGATGAGCATCTTAGACCATGAGGCTGAAACTTCACTGCAAATTCTTGACTTCGGCAAATAATATTTTATCATTATTTTGGTGAAACAGTGTTTTCATTATTACAGTTGAATCAGCAATTCACGCCCTGTGGATGTCCAGAGCTAATGGACGACTGCTTTCGAGTCATTCTCTACACCAGTCATCAGTAAGGGGTTTGACGGACTGTGTACAACTTTGTTTGCGCCGCTTTGAAGAATGTTCCTCTATAGCTTACGATGAAGACAGTCAAACATGTGACCTATTCGCCAGTGTAGCTGGAAAACTAGTCGCACTGATGTTCCCAGCGAATGTACTGCTGTACACAATACCGTATCGCGACTGTACCGACGTCAAGCAACGAATGAGTGTTGAAAGTGGCGTTTACCAAATTAAACCATGCTCATCGTGGGACGCGTTTCTCGCTTACTGTGACATGATCACTGATGGTAAAGCGTGGACGGTAGGTTTCCAAAATACAGTTCGCATTCCTATTCCAGATCCCTTAATTCAAATTCCAGATCCCTTAATTCAAAGATCCCTCTAATTTGAGAACCCTTTTTAAATGTACAGTACAAACTAAGTAATTTTAATCCTTCAACACAAAGTTGAGACCAAACCACCATGCGACCACACAACATTTGGATAAAGTCAGAGATAAAGAGAATTGTGCAAAATACATTATTTACATTAATATCTAATAGTTAACTTAGTTTACAATCTTCATTAGTTTGTTAAAACGATAACGAACCCCTAAATCAAAACTGGCCTGTTTACAGTAGGACCAGTAACTTTCGTGGCCTCCTATCTTTAAATAGTTTTATAGGAAATAATAACGGCACGCCCAGACTAACAATATTACGTTATAAGAACGTTATAATAAGGTTACAGTTTGGTGATAAAATGTTTGAACGTCCTTACAAAGTTGTGTGAACGTTATTTTGTGACCACAACTTTCGCGAACGTTATAAGAACGTAGGTTCCCCAGTTTTCCAATTCAATTTTTAAAATTGTAATGCATATTATTATTATGTGCTCTCACTTATCTATTTTGAAACTGCTGGTGCCCCCACCCCCGTTTGACAAATTCTACTGCTTTCGTATGCCTAGGCTCATAAGATAATAGAAATTAATTTTTATAGGTATTTCAGCGGCGACAAGATGGCTCTGTAGATTTCAACCAAAATTGGCAAAATTATGCGTCTGGATTTGGTGATTTGAATGGTGAGTTTTGGCTCGGGAACAAGAAAATCCACAAAATTACGTCGTCAGCAAAGTATGAATTTCGGATAGATATGGTTACCAATGATAACGACACTTACCACGTCACCTACGATTCAATTGAGATTGGAAGTGAAGCTGAAAACTTCAGACTGAATTTGGGAGAGTACGTCGGCGTTAAGTCTAATGCAGGTACTAATATAAAGTTTCAGCTATTTTTTTAATATATCTTTTTTTGCACCTCAACAAACATACGCTCGCATAAAATTATATAAAATAAAATATACTAATTTCAATTAAAGATGCATGATGTTGCAGTGTAATCGTTGAATTAGCACAATGTTTAAATGTACACGTAGCACTTAAAATATTAATACAGAATAAATATGCAAAAACAATTAAACTTTGAAATATACTAACTAGAAACAGCATTAAACCAATGGTTGCAAAAATGTTTTATGAGCAGTTAAAGTAGATTAAAAGAATCTATGTAAACCTGTCTTCCTCCATTGGAATATGTTATGTTGTTCAAACCAGGTAAGTGGTTAAAAGAGTCGAAATTGACAAGATTGATTTTACGAATTACTATAGGCCTATCACACGCAGTAGGCCTATACCAATATCTCTAAGGATGATTCAGGGAGAAGATTCAGGGAGAAAGTTCATGTTTGATGTTTTTTGCTCTAAGAGGTGTCAGAATTTATAGTTGAATGAATAGTTTTTCTCAGCCATCCAGGCTATTCAAGCTTCTCTTTAGGCACGCATACGTAAATACGCCAAGCTGTATGTAGATTGTGTTTTTACTGGCGAACTAGACCGGCATCTAGTTTCTAGTTAAATAATTTACTTGTCTGGATGGATGATTCGCTAGTCTTCCGTCAATCCAGGCAGCTGTGGGTCTTCTATTTTTTACATTGAGAAATAGAGTTGCCTGGCAAGGTGCCGTCGATCGGTTATAACCGTTCAGGTAGTTTTGGATATAACATTAAGCCTACTACTTGAAACGAAAGCTACCTGAGAGCATGAGTTGCTTCATTGTCATACACACACAGACTTGTTTGTTGGACTTACAATTGTACACTAAAAACGAGACTTGCCTGTGGGAAAATAAGTCGTTCGCATTGTCATCCGTTTAGGCAACTTGTCCTCCCTGTATACTAGGAGCGGAACTCGCCTGGGAGAATGAGTTGCTCGATTGTCATACGTTGCAGGCACTTTCATTGATTTATTGATCGTTTGATTTATATTGACTAATTGTTTCGAAAAGTTTTATATTGAAAGTGTAATATTAATAATGTCATGCGAATGTTTTGACAAAAAGCTTTAGTTCTTTGTGATACTTGATGATCTTAGCAAAATTGTACAAACGCAGATTAGAAAATATCTGAACCAAGTACTACAGAAATGTGAAATGTACACGTAAAAGTATACGACGTATTTATCCACCCCACCCCCACTGCCGATTTTCTCATATATAGGCCTAAATGTATATCCTAAGAAATAATATAGACAATGCTAAAAAAGAAGTTTTCATATGTGACTGCCAAAAATTCGGAAAACCTTAAAAATTCAATTAAAATTAAGAATAGCTCTTAATATATAGCTTTACTTCTAACCAGAAACATATTAATACCATGGATTTACAGACATTTTTCTACAAAATTCCTGAAATTGATTACCAGATGTGTAAAATAATACAGAAAAGGTAGTATTTGGTATTACATGCTCATAACAGACAGTATAATTTTTTAAAGAAGTTTGCTTTTGTACTTTTATCATGAATTGAAAACAGACTGATAATAATAATAATAATGATTTAGGTCTAGATAATCTTAATATTCCATCAACTTGTTGTTATTGCTTATTAATTTTGATATTTATTAAATTTTTAGCGTGTGTGTATTTATATTTTTATACAGGAATATTATGCTGTAAATGGCTTATTTTGGTTTTAAAGTCAAATGAATGGAATAAAATCGCTCCCGAAAACATAACTTAGGCCTACTGTGCATAGGTTGATAATATATACCCTACATTTGAACATGAAAAATACCTATAATTTTTTTTGCTTTTTGATTATGTTTTGAATGCAATATAGATAAAAACGTGCAAAACAGACACTCTTAACTAATCAATCGTCTTGTTTTGTTTTACAGCCGAAGGGCTTCATCACAGCAATGAGAGCTTGCATTACCACAATGGCATGAGCTTCTCTACATTTGACCGAGATAACGATAATTTGAGAAGCTATTCCTGCAGTATCCTCAGTGGGAGCGCTTGGTGGTTCAACAAATGTTCCCGTACTAATCTTAATGGTAAATATAAATTGGTAAATGTCTGGGACGGTGGCAGAAGCAGCTATATTTTACAATTTTCAGAACTGAAAGTGCGAAGAGTTATCTGAAGATAAAAACGACGCATTTTAAGCCTTGCCTTTTATCAATGTTAATATTTGTATGCTTTTGAATCACGATTTCTGAGCTTTGTTAGATTACGCTTTTACACATAGGCTGTATGCACCAAACATAGCTGTGTTGATCATTTGCCCACAACTTCCGAATTCTCCGTATTAAACGATTGTCAAACATGAAAGATAAGTATTACCAAGATTCCGATTTATTTTACGTTTTTTCTAGCATTGTACGCTTCAGAATTCAATTGTGCTTTTTTGGAAAGATTTCTGTCATTAATAGTCCAGTAGTTGTAGTGTATAGAGGACTTCACACAAAATACTACAGTGTCGAAGCCGAAATACAAGCAACTGGAGAAGCTTACGAAAAACGTAATCACAAATTTGTAAAACCTTTGGTATTTTTCCGAAATTTATAAAATCAATATGAATTTAATTTTGTTGTCGACTGCAAATTAAAGGTAGTTTTTCATTTAATTTTGTTTTTCGTCTTTTGCTTTGATAATTTTTAATCATTTCGATAGTCACTCCCTATGGAAAAAGCAATTTACAACATCGATATTGAATTGGATGCATCATTGTATAAGGTAGATAACAAAGGAAAATTATCAAAAAGTTACAAGTATATTGTTTTGTTTGACTCAGGTGATCAATACTATCCTGTTTATTTTCCCTCTCTTACTCCTTTTTATTTATTTTTTTATTTTTTTAATTTCTCTTAATTTTTTTAAAATACAACTTTCATTTCAAAGATTCATTGGCCCTGTCTATAAAATATCGATTAAATATATATAAGTTACAGATAAAAAAATACAATGGGGCTTACAGGATTTCATTCTGCAAAACCAAAACTTTAAAATACCAGTAAAACTTGAATTGAGTGATTATTATTACTCTTAGGTTACCAGTGTCCTTGATTTCTTCAATTATTTCTTATTCGTTGATATTGAGGCCTTCGAGATAATCAATAAATAATTCAACTTGTAATGGTGATACCATGCTTAATGTAATGGTGATGCTTAATATATGACCAAATATTGAATTATAAATACTTTAATTTCTTTAACTGTATGTTATTATGATGAATTTTACATGAAAAGCCATTATTAGATTTATGACATTTGCACAAGAAAGCCAATCTTGCAATAATGACCAAAAAATTTAACAAAATTATCAACATGAAATTACTTTAAACTATACGCAAGATAGACAATATGAAAATTAGACAATTACGTTATTTTTCATTATTGTTAGCCTTCTTTAATCTTCAGTGGCTAGTCCTTGATGGATCTTCAAAATTACAATAATTCGGCAAAAGTGGGATGTACGGGCATGGAACAAACTAGTTTTAATCGGCGTCTGGGCCTGGAGAACTCGCAGTGAGAACGAGTACATTATCAGATTTCTTATACTGAAATGTTCAAATATTTTGCTCCTGAATTTGTCTGCGTCTTGTGGTATGTGAGCGTATTATCAAATTTTATTCGATTATTATTCATTCTTTCATATACTCATTAAACTGAATGCTCTCATATTACATGAATTTCAGAGATTATATTTCTGTACACTTGTTATTTAATTAAAGATAAATTGACATACTGTAAAACCATGGAGGAATACAATATTTTATTATATATTTTATTCTTCCATGGTGAAACTGAGTGATTCCGTTGGTCATTCAACTGTAATTGTATCTACTTTTTCGGTGATACAGTATTACCTGTCTCTTATACACATCTAGATGTGTATAAGAGACAGATATTCTAGAGTTTGTCCTGCATGTGTGTAGGCCTACACGGAAAATATTGAGTCACTCAAAATAGTTTAGCCTTTTTATGAACAAAGTCATCTTTATTGTAAATGCGAAACAGAAAACACATTATTGCATATTCATAAGCGTGCCGGTGGTATTGTGTTCGCTATGTTAACAGTTTTATACAAGCCGACTGTCGCCGAGTACATAGTGAACTATCAGATCTTTAATGAAGAAGCATTTTTGTTCAGACATTGGAAGATGTTCTTGATTTCCTTCCTTCTGACTTTCTCTGCAACTGGTGGTATGTAGCCCTGTTTGTTAAATTTTTTTTTTCTCTTTTGTATAATTTATATAAATTCATTCTAAGCATAAGCAAAATGTATTCTTGCTGAAACAAAGTTTATATTTCCACTTTGGGATGATTTCAGCTACACACGGGTTGAAAGCATCAAGCATCTCGAGGCTTCTAATTCCCATTAACGTTTGGGAGTGAGTCCATCTTTTCCTTATAGGTTCACGATAGAAGCTTCATTGCGTGGCCGGTATTGCATTTTTTGTAGAGGGGGTGTTGGCTATTTTTCTCATTCATCTTCCCCATTCGTTCACACATGATTCACTGGTTCTGAATTATGATTTTCAGATTGGCTCAGTGCCAGAAATCAAAGACCGAAATTTAATTCCCAATATTAACAGCTTAGTAAGGCATGCTTGAATTGTACTTTCGGCGTTCAAGATTATTTGATTTTTCCCCGACGACCTTGCTGAAAATTCCCCTTTGCCCTTCCGAATCCCACTCTTCTAGCGCCGCCCCTGTTGACGAGCTTCCTTGTACCCCGGTTGAACAAGAGTGAGGTAGATACCAATATGAAGTGGATCATTAGGGCGCCAGACGACTGCCAGGATGGCTACGTTAGATGTTCGGGGATGGTAGATAATTGTTCGACTGATGATATACAAAGGTAATTAGTTAAAATCCGCAATGCAGTGCAGTATTTGTCATCTTCATTTTGTATACGTAGACAATTACAAACCTACTGCTTCAACACTGCTCGGACCTCTCTGTATGGTTAACGGTAAACTCTTTCTAACTTTTTATCTAAAGTCGGAGTTTGGTCTCAACACTTTGTCTCAACTGTTGCCAGATAAACCAGGCGGCTCCAGACCTTCACCCAGTTCGCCCAGGCGAAGGTCGGGGTGAGAAATAAAAAAATAAATAAATAAAAAAAATAAAAAAAATAAAAAAATGATAGCCCAAAACGCCGTGGTGACGACGGTAAGGTCAATTTTCGTCGGAAGATATCAAGATGGTAAACAGTTTCATTGGACTAAATTCTTGCTTATGTTAACCACATGCTTACCTAAGATTATACTGGCACTGGTTTCAAATCACGGTCAAGTAGATTAAAATCACCTTATTTTGCGAATTACGGTAGCGCCCCGCAACTGATCATCGCCCCCTACTTCACATTCGCCTCCTCCTACTTCACATTCGCCTCTCACATTCGCCTCCCCCACTTCACCTTCGAGCCTCCCCCATCAGCCCTCCCCCACCCCTAATACATTTAGATACGCCACTGACAGCCTTCACTATGCCCTCACCATGTCACCGGAGACGCAACTGCCAAAAAAATATGTTTGGCAGCGAAAGGGACGTACCAATAAACAATCAACACACTACCGTGTTTCTGGGTTGATTTGCAAAGTACTACATGGCTCAACTATTTTTTTACTTTGGGGTTACAGTAATTGGTAAAAATCGCACACACATCATACAACGTCACTGACAGCGCCGGGGACAGCAACTCGATTTTGAGATTAATTTTCAGAATAAAGTTATACAAAATAGCTTCTAATGACGAACTATTGTATTCAGTTGTTTTTGTTGGTCATTCAACTGTAATTGTATCTACTTTTTCGGTGATACAGTATTACCATTCTCAATAATCTATAAAACACCCACATGTAACAACAATTTCCGGGCCATATTCTAAACATTTTCACACCTCAGCCCCACATGCCGCCATGTCCTGCATCCGCCCCAGAATTTTTGTTCAAATTTTTACACTTATCATCAAACATAGAAAATTATTATTTTACAAAAGAGTTATAGGCCTATTATTTTTACTGTATTTAGATACATAGTCAACCATGTAACACCTACTGCAAATGTGATGTAGATTTTTTTAACTTTTTTTTTACTCACTGTTCTTATAAAATGTGTTCTTAATATGAAAAAAAATGTAGTTCCAGTTGAAATATAAGAACTTCCTCAATATAAATGCACAACTATATTTTATATTACTAAATAATAAATAATAGTGAACATTAATGCGCCAGTATCCATCAAAGATGCTCATGGCGCAAAACAGAAGTCAAATACATATCTTGAATTAGGGAGAAATATCCTAGATCTGTCGATCGGAGCTTCTATTAATGTTGATGACCCCGAGTCTATTTACAACATCAGACCTTTGAAGTCAGAGCGTGGCCAACGGAATTTGGAAACAAGAGTAGGCCTATACGGAGCATTTACAGCATGTAAATTAATGTTATTTGAGTTATCTGTAAATCTCTCATAATTAAGATTTATTTCGGTTGCTTGTTCTTTTCTGGATGCACCGTTGGAATTTGTCTAACGTGTGTCACTGTTATAAAATAAATATAGTATTGTATTGTACAGCATGCAATAATGTACTGCACATTTTATCATTCATGCAACAAGGACGACCACTTTCTGCAGAAAGGCCGCCTATTTCCTACGTTTAGCTCCTGGTTCTTCAAAAAGAATGAATATTGTTTAATATTTGATTACTGAACTATTGTGTGGCGAAAGTTAAGCAATTATTTTCGCACAATGAAAGACAACCTACCTGTTGAGTTGACGAGAGATAGAGCTCAGCACTGATCATTCGCTTCGCGCTCATTCTTCTGAAACGTTCCAAAATCAACCTCACGTGTCACTATAAATTAGGCTATCCTGTTTCAATGACATGCTAGAGGAGCCAACCACTCGGAGCCTAGCCCTTTTATAACCAAGTAATGAATATAAAATCGTGGTTTAAATACTTTGGATACAGGTTGAATTTTATAGGAATGATTTTTTTATATTTTGACTATGTATGGGATAAAATGGAGCTTTACACACTTCAAAAGACTGTCACAGAAATAATTTGCACTGTCTTATGCGCTTACAAAGATGAAAATTAGCATAATGTATTAATGTTGATAACAAAATTATTTTATCTGGTACCAATCTAAGCTCTTCTTTCCTTAAATGTTAGATGTGCTTGCACAGAGAGCCACATTTCACACTGAAGGGTGTGTACGACATCAGTAATGTTATGTCAATTCCAAGAATGTTTAAGGTTATATCGGTTGATTAGGAATTTATTGATTAGGCCTATAATAGCAAATTGCATCAATTTATTTTGAAGTTTCCAGCTTCAGAGGGGGGGGGGGCACATCCCCTGTCCGCACAAGGGCACACATTGGCGCTAACACCAGGCGCGTAACAGGGGTCTTGGGGCAGAGTGGGTATTTATTTTTTTTATTTTTTTAAATTTTTTATTTCAACCATCTTCAAAGAGGGTACCATAACCCTTCTAGTTTAGCCCAGTAGGTTAACTGATATTCAGGGGCCCTCTTTAATAAAATTAAAGAACAGTACAAACAACATCATTACAACATAATAATAATAATAATAATAATAACATACAATCCTCATTTCCTGGTTAGTAATTTACCATACTCACCCCACCCCACCCCACTCCCCATATATAAAACAATACGACATAGGGCTTATCTTATTTATAATATAGGCCACACATGTGTGTTTGAAACTAAATATAAGCATTTTCATCATGGTTTTATTTATTACAAACATATTCTTTCACCATCAATACACATTGAGGCCCTTCTTTTAGGTTAAAATGATCTATCTTAAATTTGAACCACCACCCCTACCAAGTCAATAAATGCTTAATGATGGAGTAGCATTAATTTTTCATTGACGATTTTACCAAGCCGGAAAAAGTTAATCTGCGGGGGAAAACACAGAACAATTACTTGGAAAAATATTTCTCTCCAAAGGTTTTTCTGAGGCAAAAAACAAACAATCATTTAAAGGTGCACTGTTTGTCAGAAGCTAATAAAACACCTAAAAAAAATATCGTCTATATTTGAATTCCCCAATTTGAATATTTGAGGCATTTTGTGGCAAAATGGTTAAGTTGTAGCAAATATTGAAATTCAAGTTATTGGTATTTTCAGATACCTGAGTATGTGATCTTTAAAATGCGATTCATTCAAATTGGACATTTCAAGCCTAAGTTATTGGAAAGTGAAAGTACAGTACTCTTAGCATCAGGATAAACATGATTTTGAGTATTGTAATTGCCTTTCAAAGTTATTTGTGCATACATTGTTAATTCGAATGAACTATCAATATAACATCAAATAAACAGTTTGTTGACCACTTCCAGAACTAATACTTTGGTACATGATTGATAAGACAATAAACCGTTGATCTATAGTGAAAAACAAATTTGGATTTTTAGGCAATTTTTTGAGCAATTTAACCATTTCGCCATGACATTTTCTATCTTCTTTTTCTAGCTTCCTTGGATTTTCCAAGTGTTTGGCAGACAGTTTACTGTTTACGCTCCCCGATAAGTATTGTGTATTTATCAACTAGAGAGTTTTCTCTATCCTTTGCCATATAAAGGACCACCCCCCCCCCCCCACCTTCCCAATAGCCCAACAGTGTTTTGAAAAAGCTCCAACCGTAGTGGGGTTGAGGTTGGTGTGGAGCTTATGTCTCGGGTCTTGGACTTCTCATCGGAGACCTTGGAACCTCTATCAACAACAGGGGTGACGCCAGTTGGGAGAGGACCATGGCCCCACATCACTGAGAGCTTCCCCTCCCTCTCCCCCGCCCGTTGTCGAGAAGGAAAACCATAATTCATATGGGGAAACAATAAATTATATGTATTTAATTAAAATCGATTAAATAAGCCTTTGAAACCCATAAATTGTCATTTAGAATCACTGTTGTCACTGCAAACATCAATATCAAATACTACAACATTTCTTTTTCATATAGAGTTATCTTATTACCAAATCCGCCATTTTGCAGAGCTTAATGTACAAAATATTATCATATCAAAATAATCTAACTATATGAAGAGAGAATTTCTTTTACGTAACCATATTTAACAAAACACAGTCCATATAGATCATAAGTGTATGACTCTATAACAATTCTAAATAAAAACTTATACTTAAAATATCAAGTTCTAAAGGTACTATTAAACTTTCAAATGGACATTGATCAAGGATATGGGTAAATGTAGGCTGTGATATGAGTGTCTACCCTCACAGTAACTTGAAATTGAGGAAAGGCAAAAAACCCAAATCTAACTTTCCCTAAAATAAAATATAAACAAAGAAACACAAAAAAAAAAACTAACAAACCAAAATACATAACAAGGTGGGCATATGAGACTATACTTTTATAGCCAATTGAAGACAAGTCAAAAACACTTGCCCACAAAAAAAAAAAAAAAAAAAAAATTAAAAAGGCAACAATAATAATAATAATAGCATAGTGTTTGCCCTGAAAAGTCATAGTAGGTTTTGACACTTGCTTTGTAAATCATAAAGAATTTTTCTCTTATTGATTTGAACGTGCATATTTGTAATGAAGGAAACATATTTTTGTGTAAGTTTTAATTAATTTTTATTTAATACCTAAACAGGAATACTAGCCATTCTTATAGTTTCCACAGCAAGCATTCTTAAGTTGGAACCCATACAAAGCGAATATTACTTCAAATCCAAGCCCCCTTCCACTCTATGATGGTCAGAAAGCATCAGGAAGCGAGATCACAAAGGCTGCTGCAACTGCATCAGGTGTCGGGATCAGCGAGGAAGCAGACACACATGCGGTCTTTGCCCATCAACAATATGGCAGCGCCATCGAGACTCCACTGCAAACTATTCACTTGGAATGAAGCTGAAAGAAAAAAAAAAACATGAATAAATCCCTGTTAGACTACCAAATTTTCTATGATAAAAAAAAACTGTTATAGTCATGATGTGCGTACTGTATATATGGTCATGTATGGTGTCATCATAACCAGGCATGTCACATTTTGTCCAATAAAATTTTATAGCCTTGGAAGTGCTTAAAGCTGTGCCCTCACTCCCACATTTTATCTGTGTGATTTGCCATAAAATATGATGATGTCATACTACATTCAAATATGGGCATATCACATATGGGTATATCACACATAAAAAATGATGGTTTTTCTTTATTGATTATTATTATCATCTTAATGGATGGATCACAAAGGAAGTATATTTCTTTAAAACATTTTTGAGCTTTTCCTTGCTTTCAGATTTTTTAATTATGTTTTGTTTAGACATTGTTTTTATTTTTGTCGGTTTTGTATTTTACTCTGATTGTTGAATTCAAATCTAATAAAAAAAAATGTCAGAACATCTGAAATGCTTTCTATGTTACCCTAATAAAAGTAACACTCATGCAAATAAGTCACCTTCCAGACTGTCAGATTTTCTTTGCAAAAATAAAACATGCAACGTGCCTAAATATGGTCATGATAACATCACATCATGACCATATATAGGCACATCATGACAATATACAACAGTTTTTTTGTCTAAGAAAATTTGATAAACTGGTTTTTCATATAACATTATCTTATTACCAAATCCTACATACTGCAGAGCCTTATGTACAAAATATAATCATATCAAAATAGTAAAACTATATGAAGATAGAATTTCTTTTACGTAACCATATATAACATAACAAAACACAGCCCATATACTTCATAAGTGTATGACTCTATAACAATTCTTAATAAAAAACTTATACTTGAAATTTGATAAACTGGACAGAGCTCAATATACATTTCTGGACGTTATTTTAACCATGTACCATATTTTTTTTAATCAAAAAATATCCAGTGCAAACAGCCTGGATGAGATTTTCCTTAGTAAAACAACCCAAGCGACGTGTTGAAATTAACCAAGAAAATCTTGCCAAGGAAAAACAACCAGGCATGTTTTGCCCAGAAACAAAAGACTGAACAGCATATATAACTCAGTTAAATCATCCTGAGAGACTAAATTGTGCATAATCAAAAATTCATTCAATTCATTTGTTTTCTGTGCATCTGCATATATATACATGCACATGGCAGTAGTCGAAAATAATGTAATGTAATGCGGTTCGATTTATATAGCACTTTATTCCAAAGTATCAAAGTGCTCACAGTGTGGAATAGCTTGCACAGTAACTTGATTCTTCTCTAAGGGTCTCTTTGTGTCTCAGCTACCCGGCAAACCGGTACCAGCTATCTCTCAACCTTCCAAAACAGGGGCTGTATGAACCGTTGGAATTAACCATGAAATGTTATAACCTAATGGATATTTATTTATGATATATAGTAACAAAAACTAACCTTCTGTTGGCACTTCAACTGACACACAACCTGCTGGGGACCACATGTACATCTTATTGTTTCCTGTACTCATAGCTAACCTTGGTTGATGTGGGTCCCATTGGAGGCCTGAAAAACAAATACCACAGTACCTATTAAAACAATGGAGGACATCAGATCGATTTTGAAGAAAATTATTCAAGCTCGCAAGACAGATAGCAACTTAGCTTAGTCGGCTGTACTGGTGGTAAACTGCGTGTGCGCTAAACTATAGATCTCTTGGTCACCCGTTCAATTCCCATCGCTGCTCCTCATGTACTTCAGTTAGAGGGCTAAAATGCATGTTACCATAGCACACCGTCTTCTAGATGAGATGTTTAAACCATTGGTCCTGTGTGAATTATGGCCCTTGTGCATGTTACAGAATGCATTCGGAAGAGAGTAGGGGATTGTCTCCCGGTGTATTGCCCAATCACCAATGGAAGGACCCCCAATGGAAATAAGCCTTCTTCAGATTCAGACTTTCATTGATTATTCTTGGTGTTTACACAAAATAAAGCCATCTATTCTCAAGTTTTGGCAACATGCATCGCATAAGATCTCTTGGTATTTGTCTAGAGAGCCAACTCCCCAAAAATTTTGACAATTTAGGGGTTTCAAAGGCTAAATTTAATGATTATAGTCTACTAATATGTATTCTTCCAGATAGGGCTTGGTTAGTCCCTCCCCCTCCATCACCCTGATTATGTCAATGTCAGAGATGACTGTTAGTAATGATAATGATGAGCTGGCAGCATTGATTATCTGAAATCATTGTCCATAATTATTATCAAAATACATTCAATGGTAACTGCCAATGATCATAGTTATCACTAGTCATTGTAAAAGGTTAAAAATAGGTTATGCATGTACACTGCGCAAAAAATGAAGGCCTCTTTGCACAAAACAAGTGAAGAGATGTAAATAAACAAAATTAAAAATTCCAACCAGCACCCAAAGCACGGTATGCGGATTACGTCCTCGTTATTGACCAAGGACCTGTCGTAATGTATCCGGTTGTACTGACATAATATTAAAATGTAAATTAAAGCAAATTTGCATAAAAACTGACTTACATCTTATACTATTTACTTGTAACATAAGAACAACCTGTGTGAGCTTCTGAACATCCCATATCCACAAAGCATTTGGCATGTTTTCTACAAGTAAAAATAAACAACATTGGTTGAGAGGGGTTAAAATCTAAGCCTAGACATTGCTTATAATTTGTATTTTTAAAAAGCCTGCGAATGTACTTGTCTCATTTCTGACAAGGTAGGTCGCTGTTGTAGGGCAGATTACCGAAGTGTGTCCCTGAGAAAAAGCTTTTGGAAGCACTGGCCTAGAGCCTCTACATCAGCAGAATTTTCAAGACACTTGTTACTCATTGTTTGGTTGGTTGAACCATGATAGAAGACAACGGAATCAAATTCAAATAAGTCTAATTGACAAAACTTTGCTAACAAAGGGTAGACTTTTGTTATTGTTGTAACAAGTGTACACCCAACCAACCTCTGTTCAAGCTGATCAGATGTTTAATCAGAGCATAGTTGTACCGTACATCAAACATCTGACCAAACACAGCACAGGTTTGATCAGCAGATAGGGCTGTGTTGTACAATCAGCCTCTGACCAAACATCAGAGGTTTTTTATGCGACAAATGTATTTCTAATATGCCTATTTTTGGGTGAAATATGACATTATCATGCCCATATATGGGCACATCACACAAATTTGTCGATTAATAATTTAGAGTGTAGACAGAAGCTTAATAGCCCATTGGTGTATTTATTGCAAATTGTATTAAATCAGATATTGTCCCTTCATGGCATTTGAAGAAATACATATTTACAATTGATGATTAATCAACCGCTTAATGTTAATAAATCAAACAAAAACAGATACATAAGAATCAATCAAAAAGTGAACCTATCTTACCATTTTTTGAGGCCATGTATTTATTGTCCGGGCTGAAGGACACCATGCTGACACCAATCTTTGGATTAGGCTTATCTGGATCAGGCTTCACAACTGGGATTTGGACGGGATTATCTTGTATTTCATCTGGATGCAAAAATCAACAACATAACTTCTACAATTTATCACAAACATTTTTATTTATTTTTTTGGGGGGAGGGAAAATATTTATTACTCACTGACCAAAATTGCATGCAAAAAAAACAAAAATAATTATCATCAGCAGCATAAAACAACCATTAATAAATTTTGCATAAATGTCAAATCTTTATATAATTTTCATTTCCTTTATTATTACCAATTAATATAGCATTAGTGATATGATCATTAAATATACACTTCCTATATTGAACCAATAATATTTGAATTACTTTAAGTATTTAAGTGGATTACTAGCAGTTAAAAAGAAGATTGAGGAAATGTATTCCATGTTAAATAACCGATACATAAAAAGTATATCAGGGCTTGCCCTAACTTTTTTTGGTAACTAGCCCACTGGGCTAGTTTACTAGAGATTTTACTAGCCCACAGAATATTTTACTAGCCCACAGACAGGAAAAAATTTTGTTTCAAAATATTTATTAGCGACAATTAAATTTGAAGGTTGATTTGCAATTTCATAATTTCTGTAGCATTGCTGTTTGAGCTACCCTCTCAAAATATTGTTGAATAAATAAATTAAAAAAAAATCACCCATGCTGCAAAATCGACTCTGGTTATAACAGGGACAGGACAGATGAGCATGTTTTACGTCATCTCCCTGGTTATAACTTTGGCTTTCTAAAACAAAGGGCCCAGAAATCAATCAAACCAATGCATCTGTTAAATCTTTAGGTCTCAAGTCACTCGCCCCCAATGGCAATAAATCTTGCTTAGGCTAGGCTAGGCTAGCTAGGCCTAGACAAGACCTAGGGCCTAGGCTAGCCTAGCCTACCTATAGCATTGAAGTACTTAATTATTAAAAGTTGAACATTTTAAAAATATCATTATGAGAAAATAATATTTTGTCATCCTGGTGCCTGATTTCAGTGTTTTACAAGTCGCTTATTCCGTCTATAAATTAACTTTCTCGTTGGTGGCGCTGTCCAGAATGAGAAAAATAATAAAAAATAAGAGACTTGTGGCAAGTCTACATGCCATCCTGTAGTGGTTGGTTGGTGAATGAATTGGGGATCATCTTAATAATTAAACACTCACGCATGTGGAGAGCTGAAAGCTAGCTAGAGTGTACTCTCCGGGCTGCGGTACCTCCTGTGCAGGGATTGTCTCGAAAGTTCCGTTTTTTTTTTAATGAAAATTTTTTTCTTGCTAATTCTCCACTAGACAACCGGGCAACATGAGGAGTAAATAGGCTAGCCCGGAGAGGTTTTTACTAGATATTGTACGCCGGGCTAGTACTAAATCGAGCCCTGTATATATAAATAAATAACCAAATAATCATCAGGTGCTGAATTAGAAGAGTTGATTGGAACTAGTATATATATAGGTTTACTTGGCCAGGTGGTGATGATTCTGAACTGTTACGAAATATTTTACTTAACAGCATGGTTAAGCAAAACCTTGTTTTCATGTGGGCGTTTGGAAATAAATTCCTTTTGTTTGTTAAAAGTACTGTGTTTACTACTCGTGATCTCCCACAGGCATAGGTTACATTTATTAGAACTAGGACAGTAAGAAGATGAGTGTCTTGGAATACACTAAGATATATCCAATTTTGTGTGCTTGTCTTTTAGGGCCAATATTTATTTTTAAAGTTCAGTTGCATCGCAATTATTTTGTAGTTTGAAGGATGATTTGAGTTTGGTTGAATCTTGTCTAGAATTCACACTCAAGTGAGGCCTATGTATTCCTTTGATTCATTTGGTGTTGACACCGTTGCTTTGTATATTAGTTAGGTATTTACCATCAAAATGGACACTGGTTGGACCAACCATCAAATGGACACTGGTTGGACGGTTTCCTTGGTATCACTTGTAATAATGGTCTGTTCCATTGCACAATTTTAAAAAAACAATTGTAGCTGTATGCATCTTTTAATCAATACTGTTATGTCTGTATGTTTTGTAAGATTTGTTTTCTAAATAAAGAAACTCAAATTCAAACTTACATTTGCTTTGGACACTAAACATGCTGGACATGGGAGGCCAAGTTCTGTCTGGCTTCATAACCTTTGGCCGCTTTTCGACCTCTCTGTATGTGACCTTAAAAATACAAATCAAAGCCTCAAATTATACTATAATCAATAAACAAGCAAGTCTTCTTTTATAGGTCAACAATATTGAGAGCATTTCAATAGTACCTGGTCTTGTGGTAACATAACTACCTCTCACCAGATTATTTAGTATTCCTCTTCAAAGTTATAGGTAGGTAGGCAGACTCTAAAATAAAATGCATTTCCGAAACTTTGCCTTCAAATTTCCTTAGTAAATGAAAAATATCAGTAGCACCTAATAATTTGCTTTAAGTGCAAGATATGCGTTGCTAAATATCTGGGGAATTTCAAAAATACTGGACAGATGAAGGTTTAAGGGTCACTTTTCTTGGGTTTTACCGTACATTGAATTATCAGTTATCCGACAAGTGGTCTAAGGTTTTACTTAGGGACAACAGGGAGCTTTTGATCGTACGACGACAGTAGGACGTAGAACGTAATGACGTCAGTAAAAGTCATCTGCGCATGTGAGAACGTTAAGGTCACCTTGTCGAGTAGATTCTGGAATGCAATTTGGCCAAATTTATGTTTGCAGAGAACATAGGACGCCAGGTAGTGTGGTCACGCATGAGTGATTTTGTTCTAGTGTTGTGTCGTCGCACAAATCAAAAGTTCCATCATGTAGCCAAAGGTCCTGTCATGGAAAAATGATTGTCCTACACATTTGATAATGTGTAGACCAGTGTAGTGTAGACCAATATATTTTTGGGTCTAGGACCAACGATAAATGTCTGTAGTGTCTATGTATATTTTTGTAATGCATCAATTACGATAGGCGAAATATCTGTAGCAACTATTAATGTTCTGTAGAGCTTGGGAAGTCCGATTAGGCCTATCCTGTCAACATTCTCAAAACAGATGTCAAAGACTGTCACAGCCAATGAAACAATGTGTAGGTGTAAACAAAACAAAATTCTAGCTTCATTCAAACTATCACATATTCTGTGTCAAAAACAAGAGTGATTTGACTATATATGAGAATGATGATGTAATATCACACCCATATATTGGTAAAATCACATGTATTTGTCACATAAAACTTACACTTATAATTATATACATGGTGACATTCCTTTTGTCAAATATGTGATTTGCCCATATATAGGCATTGAATAATGATGTCATATCACACCATTAAGGCTACGTTCAGGCCTGAGAGATACGCCAGGGGTATCTAACGTCGGCCGTACGTTAATCCATGGCGTAACTAGCGAGATGTCCAGACTGGGCGATTAACGAACGCTAGCGTAAGTATTTGAGTGAAATATTTGTATTCGTAACTCGCGCATTTTATTTTCTGTTTACATCTAGGCTTATTTTGAATGGTCAAATCCTGATGTGTGACTGCCGTAAATCAGTGGCGTACGCTAATCTGGGGTCTGTTGCTGGATTACCATACGCCAGTGATTGCGCGATATTACTGGCGTTCACTACGCCCAAGTTCACACAACTCGATTAACAATACGCTAGCGTAAGTCATTGTGTCTGAACATAGTCTGAGCAAATAACATGTATTCGTCACATAAAACATGAGCTAATGATAGCGTAGACAGAGCTTAAGGTACTTACTACAGAAGTGTTGTCCAGGATGGGCACATGGTTGTGCTCTGCGACAGTTTTCCATGTAATGTGATTTAAAACTCTGACCTACAGAAAGCAACAAGTTAAACATAATAATTTTAAAATAATTTCTACATTCCAAGCTTTAAAGACTTTTTTTTTTTTTTTTTGGTGGAGGAAGGTGTCATGCGCATACAGTATTTGTTCACCAACACCCCACACTCTGCATTGCAAATTGCTATCATCATTGAACTTTTAGCTTTATTGAGTTTAATCTTTAATTTTCTATCTCATTTAGTCACATGAACTTGAGAATGACTTCAAGATGGAGTCAAAACTTTGTTCTATTTTAAGTGCTATTTTTCTAAAAATGATTCTAAAACATACTCTTATTCAAAATACTTTTAATAAGAATAATTAGGACTATTATAAATAGTATTCAAATAAATGATTGAAGATTAAGAATTTAAAATATTTTTTATATTCTAAGCTTTAGAGATTTTTAAATTATTTTTTAAGTGGTGGGAGGGGGTAGCATTGTGTATTCTCCCCTCACATTCATCTGCATGTTCATGCTAGAGTGGCCTTATGCCAGAATTAGCTGACAAAGCACTATGTCATGGTGGTGTCATTAGACATTTACATTATAGATAGTATTCTTAATAATTGAATTTAGCATGTTAACTAGTTAATGGTGATTATTTGCCATTTCCGTTTACGTTCGTACATCTTGCAAATGACTAACAATCAATCACGCAGGGTCCCAAGTTGGATTTACTGTTCATTGTGATACCCATCTGAACTGTTTTCTGTTGAGAAAGTTAATGCCATAGTATTACATGCCTGTGTTATTAACTTGAAGATGGGTTATCTTCTTGAGATTTGTGCTTGCTTGCAGGAGAGAGGGAAACCATTCCGCAAGCAAGCAACAAACACCAAAGTCAGCACAGCGATTTGGCTGGATGTGCCTTTATATAACTCTATTTTTACAAGGTGACTGATATAGACTTCCTTATACAGGCTATAGTATACTTACTATCTGATCAAAGCTCCCAATCGCTAGGAATTGGCTGGATGGAGACCATGCAATGCACTTGATTCCCAGCGCATGTTCATATGCACTGTATGTTGCGATACAACGACCATCAACCGAATAAAGCAACACCTTATACTACAGATTAAAACAAAAGAGACAAATACTTATATAGAGTACTGCTATTTCTTGAAACAATATGTGGCAAAGACAAGCCAAACCAGTCACTCGTCGCAAAAATCAATTTTGAGTTATTAATACAGGGCAAGAGTAAAATAAGAGTTATAAAATGGTAAAAAAATCATTCAAATCCGACATTTCCTTATGGAGTTGCAAGCGTTTAAACATACAGCTGTTTAAACAACAATAATGAGCCTTCAAAGTTTATGATTTCGGGAATTTCTCATGAAAAAACTATCATCAAATCCTTAAAAAATGTAGTTTTAACATTGAAAATGGGCATGATGTATAGATACATAAAGGTTAGTTTAGTGCAATAAAATAGATTTTTTTATATTTGATATTCCAGCATGTTTTTGCCATTTTTTTTTTTGGAAACAAGATTTGCGACGAGTGACTGGTTTGGCTTGTCTTTGCCACATATGGCAATAGTTAATCATCACAAAAGTATAAAATAAAACATGATTTAGTTCACTTTTCACAATGTTTAATACAACAATTATTTTTTAGATATTTAAAAAATTATTTAACAACTCTGGATTTGAATACCGACGGAGGACTCCACTTTTACTGCAACTGAAGAGAATTGGCTTGAAAATGTTAACATAGTCACCTCTAAAATTGAATCCCATACACACAAAACTCGTCCATCAGGTGACCACTCAACTCCCTGCAAATCTCGTGTATTAGACTCAAAATGCTATAGGTAAAAAAAACATTTCTTTTTTATTAAATAAATTATTAGTAAAATTATTCAACAACAAATATGTGTATCATGTTGTGTTATTGTAATCGTATAAATTGGTTATGATGTTATTGATTTCCAATTGTCAATATAACCATGAATATTCATCATGATTGTGATCACTAAATCAAAATCATCATCTTCATGGTTAACATTATCACATCACCATTACCATCAACATCCTTTAACAATAAAATACATTTTACTTTTTAAAAATGCTGAAACATAGCCTGGACTTAGATAGTTTCTCACCATCAAGACCTGATCTCTATCAGTGTTTCCCTATCTACTTCAAAGATACCTTAAGCAAATACCGGTACTACTACCAGTTGTAAGCATACAGTACCTTTACAAGATGCCAGGTGTTTGCTGCGAATATGCTAATGAAGTCCTGGCCATCCCTACGCTCTGCCAACGCCATGTACTTGCCATCTCTACTAAAATCAATACCTGCACAAGAAATCAAACAGTAAAGATACACCTAAGTCTAATTAATACATTCATTGTCTATTATTGACCCTCTGATATTTTGTGGGGCCTTGGCAACAATTATCAAAATTATGGGACTAGGACATGTACTGAATACACATATTCTACAGTAAATCTGTACTTTTCGGATGGTATACTATGACACCTGTGAATTAATTAGCTAACTGGTCTCAGATCAGTTGGTGAAACAGTGTGGTGGAGAGTGGTTTTCTGTCTCTGTTAGCTCTTGATATGTTTTTATTTTATTGGTCTTCGGTTTCAGTCTTTTGGTTAGACTAGGTTAGTCGTATGTGAAACCTGAAGCCATAATTAGCATACTGGGCGCACGAGTCGCTGGTAGCCAAATATTCTATCAAAGAATGGCTAATAATAATATTCCAAGGCTTAGCCCTTTCTTTACATAAAAACATTGTGTCAATATACTGCTTACTGCCTAAAAACACATGTTATTTCCATCATAATTTACTCTGATTTTCACATTACTGTACATGAACTTGACATACCCGCTGGGGACCTCCTTACACGGGGGACCCGAAGGAGGTCCCCAAGAATGGCAGCACCAATAGAGAGCTCCCTTTCCTAATTGGATTTGTATATTATAGTACAAACCTTGCTTTGTGTCTTTTGGGTACTTAATGTAAGACACTGACTTGTTGACCAATGACCAAACAGTAATTCGCAGGTGGAAATCGGCTGTCGTCAATATGTGTCGTCCATCTGGACTCCATCTCACTGCTACAAGTCCTGCTGACCCTTCATCTATCTTGCAAGTCCACTCACTCTGGTCAAGCGACCATACCTACAAATATAAACAAGGTAGTGTTTTAACAGGGAACAAATTTAAGTCCAAACTTAAAGACTTGCACCTTCACCACAAGTTTGATAAGTCCTGCCATACAGATATCAATGATTGGTGAAAAAATTTTGGAAGAAGCGAGAGCTTAAGAAGACTCGAAGAATCAGATTATAATTAAGTGTAAAAAGTGTTTACTGTCCTGCCACACCCATTAGGATTATGAAATATGGCAGATGATGTGTAGGGATAAATGAAGTTAATTTTTAATAGATAAGCAAAAAATAATTGAAAATAATAATAATCAAATTTTTTATCACCAATCCCTTAACAGGATATACTTTAGTTAATACTTTAGTAAAAACACATAATTCTTGTGCAATCTTTTATGAAATTTTAAGTGTTTTTTGTGTATTTGAAATTCTTTTTTTATTTTCTGCTCAAATTTGCATTTGTTTCAAACTAGTTAATGTGTCTGTGTTTTGCATAAATAATTTCTTAAATTTCTATGTTGCTTTTTTGGGGTTTTTTTTTCTGCTATGGTTATTATTTCTTATCTTTAAATGTATTTCTTATATACTTTTACAACTATATATTTTTTATAACAATCTATTTGTGCAATCACTATACATAATTTTTAAAATTAAATTAAAAAAAATTATGTATTCTGTGCATATTTCCTATTGTTCAATACCATGTTACTGCTCTACTTTTGGTGTGTGTTGTCTCACTTTGCTGTTTAAACTTCCCAATGCAAATTTCAGGATGTGTCCAAAATTGAATCAAGAAATAACAGTAATATAGCTAAACTATATTGATTAAACTTGGAACTTGTTCATTTTTGCCAAGTCTTAAAGTTCCTATCACTCTCCCACTTACTTGTACTATTCCCCTCTTGTACATACCACATAGTACAAACTTAGAATCAGACGACCACTGAAAATTAAACAGTCAATAAAAATATGAAATGAAATAATTTTCACAATTTCTTTAAGCAGTTATAAGGGGTGGGGGATATGAGAAGGTGAGATTGAGATTAGAAGGGCAAAATTTTTTATTGTTGAGTTACAACATACAATGCAAATATTAGATTAGAATTTATAGTAACATTTAAAAGTTAAAAATTCATTTATTTTTAAAGTTGTGACACAGACAGTCGCTAGCATCTACTTTACCATTAGGTGAACCGTGAAATTTTACATTTATTTTGTATTGCTGGATTGCCATTTTTCATTAGATTGTTGCTATTGTTATTCTTAAGCCAGACTTTTTTATACCTTGTCTAGCGAAATTATTTTTTTTCAAAGACCATCAGAGGAGTGAGAATTAAAATAAAATGTTTCCAATTTAGCAATGGTTTTGCCAAAAAACATCCAGGAAAAAATAAATGTAAACAGTACTGTTTAGTAATGGGATTGATAAACGCTTTAGATTAACATTTTTAAGTATTCATAGACGAGACTTTTTTTATTCCTTGTTTAGCGAACTTATTTTTTTCAAAGGTCATCAGAGGAGGGAGGTAAAAAAATTAAAATAAAAGTCTGTTTTCTAATTTAGCAATGGTTTTGCTAAAAAACATCCTGGAAGAAATACATGTAAACAGTACTGCAACAGGATTGATAAATGCTTTAAATTTACATTATTAAGTAAATATACATTTTGTGGCAATGGATGTGATAACTAGCCAAAAATATAATTTTATTGTCATTCTACAACATCTAGCCTTATGAAGGCAGGTGTGCTAAGCCATTTTATTTATATCTTTGGTGCAGCTACACAGTTGAAAGTACTGTATGCTGAGGACATACCTCAATATACTGGATGCCATCGAGGCAGGTGTATAGTTGAATAATCTGCAGTGTTTTCACATCTCTAATAATTAGACGATACTGCACACAGTTTGCCTAATGTAGGAAACAAAAAACTATCAATTAATTTAATGTTAATCATTAGCAGGGTATTTTTTTTACAATTTTTACCCCCAAAATGCCTCTGAGACATTCATGATGCCTCAGAGGTCGTTTTTCACAAACAGACTGTTCACGCTAATTAACAGGTTAATTAAAGTTAAGAAAAGAAAATAAAATTGAACGAATGAATTGTTTAATGCTTTATACTTAAACACATGTCAAAAAAAAATTTTTTAATTTCAATATCCTAACAGTGAAATTTACTGTTTTATGAATTAGTCCACTTCAAATGCCGTTTTGGTCGGAATTGAAGTTTGCTTCTCTTTGTGAAAACAGTGATGAATTGAATTGAAGATCAGACATCGATACAGACAGGGCTACAGTAGTAGTAGACTGATAATCAATACTGAACAGAACAGAACGGTTCCGAAGAAGCCTGATACCTTACTTTGTTAAACTTTTGAACAAGTAACTACCATGTACATTATTTATACATTTGTAAATTTTGATCAATAATGATCCAATCAATTTTTATGTCCACTCTGGTTGAAGGATATCGGAATAAAACTTGGTGTTGATGTGATCATTTGAGTTTCTGTCCTGTAATTTGATTTAATGTACTGTCTAATTTTTTGATATATCCATGTTTAAATTTGATTTAATGTTGATGTAATTAATTTAGTTTACATTTCTTTTTACTCGTTTTTATCTGTTATCGTGTAATTTCGCTTTTTAATGTACTGTTTTAATTACCCCAACCAGGGCAATGTAAATAATGTGCAATTTAGATTTGTCTACAATACATTATACTGCCTTCTGTTCCCCCGTTATTTATTTATTCACTTACTCATTTTTTATGGTAATTTTGTTGTTTTTATGACATAATTGTAATTTTAACTTTTTTTGCCTGAATTTTGTATATTGAATAAAAAATCCATGAATGAATGAAAAAGTGCGCGATTTATATACATAGGCCGAAATATATATATATATGGTACAAATATTACAAATATATATATACAAAATATGATTATCAAGATCAGCGAAGTATAGTGCTCAATAATAAATAATATAAATAATAATAATAGAAAGGTATGTCAAGCGTGAATTTACTCTACAGAGCTGTTTAATGCAGTAACAATCTTCAGGAGTGAGTGGATAGGAAAATAATGGAGGTATATACAGGTTAAGCAGGTGTATATGCTAATTGTGGTACGTATTCTTGAGTAGGAATTTGTTTCTGTGTCTGTATTTTGAAAGAGGCTCTGTTCTTTTGTTTAAAGTTGATGGTTTGTTTGAATAAATTATGTGAAATTTCTCTGTAAGGCAGAGATTGCAGTGTTTTGTTTGTGTACTGTATGGCGTAGCTTTGTCAATTATGGACGATTTAATGTTGAATTGGTTGTTGCTTTCTTTAAGTTTCCATACATGTTTTGATAATTCAGTGCTGTTCTTATGCTTCTGAGAGGCAAATTGTGCTTATGATTTGTAAATTTGGTTTTGAACGTGTTGTCTGTGAGTCCGATGTACTCTTTGACATCATCATTTGTGGTATCATATAGTTATTAGTTATATTATACTTTTTTATATTTTTAAAAATATTATTTTAATATTATTTTTATTAAATGCAGTTTTAATTATTGTAAGTGGATGTAAATAAAAGAAATATCAAAGGCAACGATTTAAAACCTTTAATTTTGGCTTTGCATTAAAATCTCTTTTGGTAAATATTCAGTTTAATACACAGTAAATTAGGGCCGAGTTGACACATGGGGCCGAGTTGACTGGAGGCGAGTTGACTAGAATACGCTAGGCTAGCCCCTACCTAGTAGAGGAGGCCGCCTAGGGGCTACGAAATAAGTACAATGAGAAGTTGCTAGTGACAGGAAAAGGCTGATATATTCGCCATTATTATTGCTTTTCTTGTGTAATATGAGAGTGATTTGTAGAGGCCATGCCTAGGTCTAATACGGTATATTTAACTAGGCATATCCTGCCTAGCTAGGGCACCGCCTACAGCTAACCTACGCTACTGTATTGTGACAGTTGGTTGTTTGTAATGAATATTCAAAATTAGGCCTAGCCAGCCTAGCCTAGGTAGGCTATACTTACCAAATACTCTCCATTAGGCGAAAATTTACACAGTTGATTGGTCTGTTTAAAGAGTTCAGAAAAATTCATTATTGATCATTGTGACTATCCAACCCTTTAACAGTGACTTGGGCTTTGGCAGCTGTTGCAAGAACGCACTTTTATAGGCCTAACTAGCTTCATCATCATTCATGCATGCCACACCACTGACACAGACCTCACGTCTAGCAGCCCTAACTAAGCGGAAGTTTTGATTCTTTGAACCTGGCGCTCAGGTCATCAGCACTCAAATTCGCCTTACCTTTACTGTATTTAGTTGCAACGACTAAAAAATCTTATTTCATTTTTCCATCTCAATTTTATGTTATATACTACTATTTTAAAATTCATTTTTCAACCCTGTATGTATAAAATTGTTTGTTTACGTTTTAGTTTTTGACCTTTACAAACAAAAACTGAGCGTGACCCAAAAAACATGGCGGTGCTCTTCCAAAACATTTTCCGACGTTTTCCACGTGTGTGTTACAATCAATTTTCTACCGGTTAGTAGAAGATGAAGTAGCTAAATTTCTACATTTTACTGTATCTGTTGTAGTTACAATGATAACCTAAAGTGAAAAAAGTATATATTAATTTCTAGAAATTCTAGGCCTATCCTAGGCTAGGCGCTTGACTTGGACCAGGCAGGATAGGGTGGCCAAAAAAGGGGCCTAGGCCTAGCTAGGTCAGCTGCCTAGGCCTCTCTTCTCTAGGCCTAGTAGCCATGCCATAGCTCTAGCTAGCAGTTGAGAAGACAGGAACCACCAGGCAAGAGAAAAGAAACCCTGCCCTGGCTTGGTGTCCCATCTATCCAAAACTCTATGGAAACAAGATAATAATAATATAGCCTGACCCTAAGTCAATACGTGTAAGTTAGTAAGCTATTCTTAACTTAGTCTTAGACCTAAATTTTAATGGAAATGTGTGTAGGGCCTTAGGCTAAGGTAGGTATATTAAGAAAAAAAAATTCATCTTGCTTGCATTTAAATGAAACTTATGTCAAAGATCATCACAACATTCAAACACACAACATTGAAATCGTGCTACACATACAAGGCCTAGTTAATAATGACAAATGTTCGAAGATTTTTTTTAATAGTTTATTTTTCCGGAATGGTATAGGGATCATTTGCAAACAATGTGACCTTTTGACATTTATAGAACAAAACTAAAATTATATAACAAATTAACACTTTATTTCTAATATTAAGCCTATTATTTTCTTCACAGATTTTGTGTAGCATTGGCACTTATTATACAATGCTTAACTACTACTAGAACCACTCCCATACCACCCAACACATCCCCCTGCCTTCCCCTGGTGCAAATATATTATACGCCGTGGCTAGAGATATGGTACCGTATTTCTACTTCAATTTGCTAAAGGTACGGTAAATAGCATTACGTCACCATCCCCCAATGAAGTGCCAGAATGTGCGTGACGTCATTTTTCAAGACTGGCATTGCATTGCAGATCACCCACGGTGAGCGGTGAAACGAGAACGATGCACGGTTCTGGGAAATTAGAAAATCAAAAAGTACAATACAGTATTGTTTGACTTTGTACTGTTATCGATAAATAGGCTTATGGTTCCATTTAGTAAAGAGTTTCATTTAGCTAGGCCTATGTATAACCATTATCAAACAAGGACTGATTCCACCAAACTCTTGGCATGCCTCTAGGCCTAATTGCTTAAATTCTTCGCTTGGCGAAAAATCTAAGCAAGCCTGCTCGACCTTGCTTGGATTCTGCTTTTTGCGGCAGCTGCTCTGGTGACATTGATCTGAGTGGCATAGGCCTACTGTATATCAGTCATAAACTTAGCCTAGTTCCTCTGTCATCATACCGTCTCAACTTCATTAAATCCCTACATCCCAAGTTTTAGTCCAAGAAGCTCGAAATAATGCCATGCTTTACAATCCTACCAAAATATTCATACAATTTGAATGCACAAAACTTTTCGTAGGTAGACTTCGTCACTGGTACAGAATCTAGGCCTAGATCGAGAGAATGAGTTTCCCCTTCGTGATTATTACTATTGAGTCAAATTTTTCCAATAATTTTGATGCAGAACTACTGTCATAGAAAAAATAGGCGTACCACTCAATAATAAGAGTCATGTCATTTATATAGCCTTATCAAGCAAGGCACCATCCTCAGGACTTGGCCAAGGCACATATATGCACACACTACTGTTAGTCTTTGGTAATCTATTTATATGACAACACTTGCAATAAAAAATTAATATACTGTAAACAAGAGAATTCATACAGGCCTACTTTAAAGTGGAACCATACGCCTATTTAAGGATGACAGTAAAGTCAAACAATATTCTACTTTTGATGTTCTAATTTCTCAGTACTGTACAATGATCGTTAGGCTTCCACCGCTCATTGCGGGTGATATGCAATGCCAGTCTTCAAAAAATGACGTCACGCACATTCTGGCATTTCATTGGGTGATGGTGACGTAATGCCATTTACCGTACCTTTAGCAAAATGAAGTAGAAATATGGTACCGTATCTCTAGCCACGGCGAATATATTAAGTGCTGTAAAAATTATTTCTATAGGCCTACAGTAATGAGTTGTTAATATATTTACATACCCTCACTAACTAAACTACACTTCTGCCTATATCCCATCTCCTCCCGACCTCAGACCCCGCTTACCCTTAATTATCTTAACCCCTCTGTATTTAAGATACAGTATACTATTAGTACATTACATTATTTAAATTGCCACATGCAAATCAAAGTACCTCCTTATCCACCACTCTCTCCCCCACAACCTACCCCAACCCCACCACCTCCCCCCACCACCT